CTGCGTATGAGAAGCAGTAGTTTGATCCAATCAATAGCGCTCCGAACGGAGAAGTCAGGCGAACCCAGGCGCAGAAAAGAGTCCATATCCCTGCACCCACAAACAAACATACAGGACAAACAAACAACAAAAGAAACATCACAGCAACACGTCGTCGACGCCTCTTAACGTTGAGAAGTGAAGCGCGGAGCAAAGCCAAACGTCGCCATCTGCACAGTTCCCTAGCGCCGAAGGTAAGAGCACAAATGAGCGACCTTAGATCACCTTTAAACCGCTCCTATGGCAGAGCCGCAATGACACCACCGATCATAGAGGTACTTCAAACCGAACTCATGGCAGGCAGTCCGAGGCGTTAGTGCGCCGCCATAAAAGCTACCTCGATCCTAGAAGCCCTCCAAACTGCAAACCGGCAGGCGATCAGAAGCAATGCCCAGATGTCATCATGCCGGGTCGCGAGGCATCGCACCCGTGCACAGGCGCATACTCGCCATCAATAAGAGAGGCAAAAAGCATCTGCCATTCCCCAGATATAGCCAGCCCAAGGAGGCACAAGTCCTGTAACCCGCCAGGCCGTTAGGGAACCGCAGACCAGGCGTAGGCGGGAAACCACAAAAAATCGAAAAGCAAAAAACCCAAAAATCGGCAGGAAACGGCGCCGCCGGTTCCACGCATAGGAGGCCAAATCCAAAAAGGGCCAAGCGGCCCGATCATCTTAAGCCAGAACGAATATCATTCCGACCCCCCGAAAAAAACGTGGGGCTTTGTAGCCAAGGTAAGGCAGACCATCCCCAACCCTTTTTTCCAGTGTACATACCGAAACCCTCACAATACATGGGGCCCTGAGGCCTAGGTAAGGCAAAAAACGAACCCCCAAAGCATTCTGAACTCCCAAGTGGGGCCCTAAGGCCCAGGTAACCCAACGCATTCCAAAACCCCCCAAAAACGTGGGGCCTGGAGGCCCAGGTAAGGCAAAAACCGGCCAAACCGTCAATTAGACCCTCATGAGGTCATCCGAGCTACAATGGAAGCCTCGACCGAGCCCGATTTTGCAGCAGAACCAGAGAAGGCATGAGAGATAAGTCTCATCGGATACCGACGTAGTACCAACTCACGTCGAACAACGATGAAAGCGGTCATCCGTCCAAATTTATCAGAGGACAGCCGAAAGACCCGATGCAAAGTGCTAGTGATAGCCCCAATCTTCGCCTGCTTAGAGTAATAGGAGTCAGAGTCCTGGAAGGACCCAAAAGTGAGTCGTCCCAGGCGCCAGAGGCTATCCGCATTCTTAACGATAGCAGAAGTGCAGATAGTCACACCCAAACGCTCAACCAGGACCCCTGCAAACGTCCAAGATTCAGAATCCGTATCCGTCCTTTCAAGCCTGAGGTGATCACCATAGCATCCACGAAATAATAAATTCAGGATGATCCCAACACGACAAGGATTATCCCTACCCAAGATAGCAACAAAAATCGTCACATCGTCGACGATCCTGAACCCAAGCACAAGTCGGCGGTCTGTTCCCAGTAACATAAGAAAACGATTCTCTGCAAAAGCACACAGGATACACGCCAAGGAACAACTAGTGGACTTCCCCATCGACACCCCAATCACCTGCCTTAAAAACCTGTCTTCCGATCAAACATAGGTAAAGCTCAAGTCAACAGACATCATGTCTTCAATCTCCCGCAAGGAGATTTGAATGCACTCGGGCCGATGAGATCCGAAAGATAAATAGGCTGCCTTCCCTCGGCAAGCCAGATTGACCCCCCGGTACCCTTTTTGCAGAAAAAACGATAGCAACCACGAGACAACATCACGAATATCCCCCTGAGGCAAAGATACAAACATATCTTTTACATCAAAGGAGGCAGAAACGAGGTCACGGACATCCGAAAGGCTTCTAAGCATAGCATCCATCTTACGCAGCCCTGCGGTGAACATGTCCTTAGATTTAAGATTAAAATTCGATCTTGAAGGCAAAGCAAAGAGCAAACAATTCAGAGCCCGAGCTACTCGCGATGAAGCCCGTCGTGTTGGCTCAGCAAAGGTCGGGGAGATGGGACGCCACCTAAGAAGATCTTTATGCTTAGGTAGGACATAGGTTAAACCAAAGCAACCCTTGGGGTCCCATTTCCCAAGTCATTCAAGCCCATGTCCAAAGAATAGCTCCTTCATACGTCCTAAAACCACATCCTGTGACTCTTCCGCAGGCTTAAAGGAAGGACTAAAATCGAAAGCGATACGCAAGAAATGCCGATACAGCTCCGGACAAATGACCAGAGTATCCGCAGAGTTACGGTCGATCGGGACACATACGAACCTACGCAACCGCTCAATCCAAGGCCTCATAATCGAATTCATCCATGGATCCTTAGGACGCGCATCGGACCAGCATCCTCGCAAAAGGACCGACGGGTCAATTACAAAAGACGACCGAAGAACCCTGCAGACCATTACCAACTCTTTCCCTAGCATACCGAGATCCATGCCGGAACCCGAGAGCGGTATCATCGGTATGTTCCTAGAATTCAAGAACAAGTCCGGTAGAAATGGAATATCTGCAATATGTGTCCTCACATGCAAACCATGCCTCTTCCAACTAACCTCCTCTTCACAAGCACAAACCACAGGCGCCTCTCCGCGCACAAAACGATTCTGCGTCCAGATTAGTTCCCCAACCTTCCTATTCTTCTTCCACACAAAGCGCACACGACGCTTGATCAACTCTCGCACAGAAAAGGGAAAAAAGGAATCATCGATAATCCAAATAACAAGGTCTAAAACGGATCTAGACTGCAGTCGATGGTCAAATACTGCTCGAACAACAATCTTTCTCCGGACATCAAAACCAATCCTCCTCTTGACCCCCCGAGCTACAATTGCTTTCAGAGCCACCCGGGTATCTTTCCTAGAGAAGGCCCTCGCTGCTTTAAACAAACGAACTAAACTATCGACGGACCTCTTCCCCAACTCCCTTCGCCGCCAAGGCTGCTAGAGCAAAAGGCGAAGCTCCCCCTTGTGGATCGACCTACCATTGGGCGTCACCATCAAGAGACCAACAAGGAAGTCACCGCCAAGTTCCAAACAGCGCCGGATATCTCGAAGGCACGACCGACGGTTAACCAAGGAGACAGGGGAAGTACCGAAGATCCTTCGTACAACCGACCACCTATCGGCCCAACTCCCCCCAGGCAAAACAGAAACCCGTACGTATCGATTTCCTATAACGTACGCCTGTCTCAGCAACCGCACCAAACTGTCGCTCCAGGGGCCATCATTAACCCGGAATTTCACAAAGCCTAAGACAACAAGACAAGCTATGGGACCAAATTTCCTACGCCGGCGAGACACCCTCCGCGTCCTGCTGATCCTATGTCGGTCCTATCGGGAGTTAAGGAAAGGATCCATATACCGAATTACCGCTCGCTCAGCCATATCCACAGAGAAAAGCCCATTGACCAGAGGTACGACAACATAATTCCACACCCCAAAGTGTTGCAACCATTTATACAACCGTGGACAAATCCCAGTTCCGCCAGCAAGGGTAGTTCGGACATGTTCCCCCAACGGACATACTGTCCCCGGACTGTACTGCCAACGTACTGAGCCCGACACCAAGGGGAGGTCAGGAGATACACAACCGGACCCCTATCCTAGGAAAGCCAGTCTAGAAAACAGATCAAGCCATCAAACTTTCGACACCAGGTAATTTCTCCTACCAGGGCAAGAGCAACAAAACACGGTGTACAACACTTATCATAAAGCAGTCGAATCCTGGATGGCAACCCAAAAACGAAAGCATCAGTCCGACACTTCATCACTCCTAACAGGTTACACCACAGGTGAAAGGAGGAATAGCGTGCTAGTCATGCGGGGTTCGATGCGGGGTTCGATGCGGGGTTCGATTCGGCGTTCTCAGGCGAATGAGGTGGAGTAGCAGCGGCCTGAGCCGAAACCAAAACAAACCCTTCATAGGCCAGCTTCGTCCGTGCTGCTATAATCCGATGAATGGATGGTCCCTTAGTGCAGTAATGGAGCTCTTCATTGATACAGATCTTCTTCAACTGATCTTGGCGAAGTCCCTCCAAAGTCCTCCGTTGCTCAAGGATATAATGGAGAATACCATCGGGCCCTCCAGCCGCGGGCACCTTCTTCCTTCGATCCTTCGCCTGCCCGGAACACTCAGCACGAGTGCGTGCGTCATCCGCTACAGACCCATCCATGTTGAAGGTCGGTTGTCGGAAAGCCACACCCTCCGACAAGGGCGTCTTACCCTGCCTCCGCTTTTCCCGCAACGTGTACAAACGCCGGATCTCGTCATCGATGTCCTCTACTTCACCATGCACGTCCTCCCGCACCTCCCTTCTTCGGGAAGAAGGCAACGTACGCGTCGCACGAAACTCCTCTCGCCTCGCCTCATCCCGGTTAGCAATAAACTGTTGCCCAAGCAGCGCCAATAACTCAGCCTTGGTGGCCTCTGCGTGGCGCACCATCTCAGCCTTAAATTGCTCCTGGATACGTTGACGATCCTCCATCTCCTTCTTGAGTGCTTCCTGCTGCCTTCGCTCATGGAGGAGAGTCCGGAGGAATTCCTTTTCCTCCAACTCTTCCGGATTCCGACGCGGGGTCCAGAAGCGTGGCGTAGTTGGTGTCGAAGCCCCATTCGCAGCCGCACCACCAGGGTTAGCCCGACTAGTCGGGCATTCTCGAGCAAAGTGGCCATCGCCACCACACGAGAAACACTTCAGATTACTAGCCATGGACAAGGATCACAAGCGCAGAGTTAAAACGATAGATCCCCCTAATCGTGCTTTACAAAGATCCCACACATACCAATCTCGTCGTCAAAGGTAACTATTATTCGGATAAGGTGGTCCTCAACCAGAAAAGCACACCTAAGGAGGATACGCATCATATTAGAGCTGACACATCAAAAAAACGAGGGAGAAGAACCATCGGATCCTAAATCGGAAAATGAGTATTCAAGCCTCTAGAAACACAAATGTTAATCGAAAAGCAGCAAATCGCGCAGAGCCAATTCCCAACGAAACCGAGATATCACAAGACCACCATTCACAGAGATGACCCCCCAACCCCATTCAGTCGTAGGCGCGGCCACCAATGAATGTGCGACTGCATTCACGGATACCGCGTTACTCAGAGAAGAAGAACTGTCGACAAACAGTCTTACGTATGACCCACGATTAAAAATACAACCCACACACACGATCCTGGACGCACAAAGGAGCCGGGAACAAAACACAAGGGATCAACCCATACACTTAAAGCCAGACATGAATACACGAGAAGTAAGTGGCTTTAAAATCCGAAAGTCTTAGAGCTCATTTCCAATAAAGTTAGACAACAAAATACATGAGGAGCACGAGGCTTTAAACAAAGAGCTCAATCCACCCTGTCTCTCCACAAACCAAAGCGACCATCCCTCAACGCGTTTGTGCTACCCCGCCAGTAGCGTCATCAGGAGGTATCCTGATCCAATCGAACCTCAGCTCGAAGAAGGAGACCAAAACAAAAGCCTTGTCTCCTTATATACCCTATCCTACCCCCGTACACTCCATACCTCCACATCTACATCGTATCACCTAGTCCCCCGAGGATAGTCCCAAAAACACCGTATGACACGTCGGACCCATCGGACCGCTGCGTATGAGAAGCAGTAGTTTGATCCAATCAATAGCGCTCCGAACGGAGAAGTCAGGCGAACTCAGGCGCAAAAAAAAATCCACATCCCTGCACCCACAAACAAACACACAGGACAAACAAACAGCAAAAGAAAAGCCAGACGTCGCCACCTGCACAACTCTCTAGCGCCGAAGGTAAGACCAGAGATGAGCGACCTTAGATCACCTTTAAACCGCTCCTATGGCAGAGCCACAACGACACCACCGATCATAGAGGTACTTCAAACCGAACTCATGATAGGCAGTCCGAGGCATTAGTGCGCCGCCATAAAAGCTATCTCGATCATAGAAGCCCTCCAAACTGCAAACCGACAGGCGATCAGAAGCAACGCCAAGATGTTATCATGCTGGGTCGCGAGGCATCGCACCCGTGCGCAGGTGCATACTCGCCATCAATGAGAGAGGCAAAAAGCATCTGCCATTCCCCAGGTATAGCCAGCCCAAGGAGGCACAAGTCCTTTAACCCGCCAGGCCATCAGGGAACCAGAGACCAGGCATCGACGAGAAACCACAAAAAATCGAAAAGCAAAAAACCCAAAAATCGGCGGGAAACGGCGCCGCCGGTTCCATGCATAGTAGGCCAAATCCAAGAAGGCCAAAGCGGCCCGATCATCCTAGGCCGGAACGAATATCATTCCGACCCCCCGAAATAAACGTGGGGCTTTGTAGCCAAGGTAAGGCAGACCATCCCCAACCCTTTTTTCCAGTGTACATACCGAAGCCCCCACAATACATGGGGCCCTGAGGCCCAGGTAAGGCAAAAAACGAGCCCCCAAAGCATTCTGAACCCCCAAGTGGGGCCCTAAGGCCCAGGTAACCCAACGCATTCCGAAAACCCCCAAAAACGTGCGGCCTGGAGGCCCAGGTAAGGCAAAAACCGGCATAACCGCCGTTAGAAAGCCCGATGGTGACAAAGCCCGATGGTCGGATGTACCTCAATTTTATCTCTTTCTTTTTTGGGACCGTCGGATGTATTTTGATGGTACTTTTACGATGAGATACATCAGATGGTCAAAGTGAGATAACCGCTTTCTCACCCAATGAGTAACTTGAATGAAATTTTGACCAAGTGCACTTTCGTGAATTTAGAAAACTGTTACAATGTTAGTCTTAACGAAATGTCAGTTCTGCCAAGAAATCACACTTATGTGAGACAATACATGGGGTGGTTCTTTGGAACATTTGGAAAAAAATAACAGAGTCCGGAATAATCAACAGCCTTCTCTGTTCATCGACTTAAGAGTTTGAAATTGCACTTCATACATTCGGCCTGAAAATGTTGATGAATGTATACAAGCTAGCTTTCAGGTCCATTACAGTCAGGAGGGGGGGTGTTACGCTCGAGGGAATGCGAGTGCCTGAGGTGCAAACTTCAAACTGTTTATGTGACTGTGATACGCCAACCTCACACCCCGTACAACGTCCCTTACCCGTGGGGCGCTGATCAGACTAATAGGGGCGTGGCCGAGGATGTTGGTCGGGGGTTGAACCGCCAGGGCAAAATTGGGCGTCCTCGCCTAAAGTCCCAAAGGTTGCTTTAGAAATTTGAGCCAATCGGGGAAAGTACAAAATTTCAGAAAGTTGACAGGTGCCGAAAGGCGGGATACAGGTAAAATTCCACCCTTCGCTTGGGAATAAGAGCCCCTCCAATTCCCCGCCAGACTCCAACTATAAGCGCAAAAGACTAAGCAAAACGGAAAAACAAAACAGCAAATCTACCGCTTATCTCGTGTTAGGTTCACGCAACTTTTTTCGTGGGGGGGACGAGGGGACAAGGGACACTTTAGGCATCTGAATTAGGTCCGCGCGCACAAAACTTAACTCCCGTGCTTAGTTTCTAGACCACACGGCAAATGAACAAAGCAGCGATGGAGAAGAAATGTGTCCCTCGCTATTCAGAATTACAACGATGCTGGCACTCCGCATACTACACAGCCACCAATCCAACCGAACGGAAGCAAACCATAGCCAGAAGGCCCTGCAGCCCCTGCCGCTGGCCGCATTCCCGTCTCCACCATCGCTCAGTCCCTCTGACTGACTTACCCCAAGACTATCACTAATTCCACCCCACGCTGTGACGCCGCCCGTTTCTGGGGCACGTCAAGCCTGCCTGGCGCTGTGGTCTTCGCGCATAGCTCGTGCGGCATTGCAGCAGAGATCCAAGAGAGTGAGAGCAAGGGGCTGCACAAATTTATAGCGTGGAAGGCGGCCGGGCACCAACACACTATGCGGGTAGCGAGGGGCATGGATGAAGAAGAGGGAGGGAAAAACTTCCAGAAGGTTGAAGAAGGCGGTATGATCGAAATATTCGTACACTTGGGTTGACCATTCAAGCCACGCGTGTAAGTTCGCCCTCACAGTTATTCCAACTGTCGACCAATCTATCACACCGAAAGGGACATGGAGGGGATCAGCCGAAAGGGTTTGGGGTAGGCAAAGGGTTGGATGGAGACGAGGGACAACAAAAAGGGAGGCAGGAAGCGAGTTTGAATGGCGAGCCAGAATTCAAAAATGGCTGCGTGTGCAGTTGTTGATGCAAGAAAATTGAAAAGTCTGTCAACCAAAAGTCATAACCGTTTCTTGAAATTCTCGTGCACCGCTAATCAGCCGTGTGAGGCTTAGTTGACCGGGGACGGGGTCAAATATACGTAACTGACTTGCAAAACTTGAGAGCGGACCCTGTGGTCGGTACTTCGGGCTTACTCCGGGTTTTAGCCCGAACGGTACTCGAAGCCGCGAGGCACAGAGCTTGGCTTATCACATGATCGCCTCGTAGTTACCACACTCTTTTCTGGGTGACCGTCTTACAAAAGAGTTTTCGAGAAGAATTTAGCATTATGCTTATTGGTTCATTCTCATTTTGCACATTGCACGAGAAGTGCAGCCAGCACTAATACCTCGAACGTCAACGCAGTTGAGCACTTAGCCTAACCCAGTTGGTTAGCCATGCAAGTGGCATTCATGAGGTTGTGGGTTCACTTCCAACTGACCACTTGCGGCACTCCT